CCACAATTCTTCTCCGGTGCCGCACCATCTCCAGTAGACCAGGACAGTTTCTTCAGCCCGGAGCCCCAGCAGAGGCAGTACAAGCCCAAGCAGGAATTCAGGCCGGCCCCTCAGCCGCAGCAGTTCGCCTCCAGGCCCCAGGAGTTGAACCCTCAGTTCGACCAGTCACCGGCTAGGTTCCCTTCACAGAACCAGGTCCCGCAACAACGACAGTCCTTCTCTATGCTGGATCAACTTCTGAAGGAATACTCCTTACCTCAAGGAGGATCAGCACCGCTCCATGATATCAGCTTCGGGTCCTACTAGTTTTGGTGTTGTTTGTAATGTAAATATTTAGTGTACTTTTTTAATTAAAACCAATTAAAAAATCTTTTGGTTTTGTGTAAATTCTACAAGTCTGCTCTAATGTAGCATTTTGTAAGAAAGCTAAGAAGTTAAATGCTGTGAAAATACTCAATTAAACGTAATCTAAATTAGTATATATGAAATGAAGTTTCGGATTTTTTTTGCATTGTATATGTTAGAAATAAATAGACGAATTAAAAGAACCTTTAACGGATCTCAATAGTAGTTGTATAATAAAATAAAATTGTCAAAATATTAGTTTCAATTTATTCATTGTATGAAAAAAAGCTGTAATATCTAGTTGCCATTTTAACCCACGAATAAACGTGAAAACACATGTTAAAATAAATCTATTTATTTTAAAGTATGTAGTTTTATTCCTGCATACAGACGTAGCGTAAACTTAAAAAGTTTTTTCTTAAACTAAAGCCTTTGTCAACGTAATGCGGTTATATAATTTTGACAATTTGATTTAATTCGATATATTACCTTTAATCACTCTGAAAATTACTAATGTGTTACTTATATTTCGTTCTAATAAACAAATATAATAAAATAGGGAACGTGTATTCTATAATATGTTTAAAATTCTGTTTTGAGGGCCGTGGGAGAGATTCCAACAATGGGGGCATTAACAATGGACCTCTTACCTGCACATATGCTCGTTTTCTCACAGAATTACGCAACAAGATATTTACTTGCTTTGTTTATTAGAACAGAAGTATACGGATATGCAATTATTGGGAGGATTTTAAAATCTTTGCCAGAATTGTGTATGAATCCGGTTGTAGGGTTTCAGAATCTCTGAAAATTTACTTTTAACGTACTAATAGGCAACATGTTTTTCTGTTAAAAATACATATATACACTAGCCTTTAGCCCGCGACTACGACCGCGTGGAAAAAAAACAAAAGTGAGTAGCGTATGTGTTCTTTTAGACTATCCTCTACATCTATACGAAATTTCATCGAAATCCGTTCAGCCGTTTAGTTACAAACTCTAATAAACATCCATCCATCCAAACTTTCGCATTCATATTATTAGTATGATGTCACAGATAAAATACCTTTCTAACGGTGAGAGAATTTTTAAAATAGGCCCAGTAGTTTTTGAGTTATTTCAATCATAAAAAAATACAAATCTTTTCTCTTTATAACGTCAGTATAGATGGTGATTTGAACACATATTTCTGCAGTGGATTCTCACGATAATCAAACGTTAATAGGACCACACTATTGCATTAAATTTAACAACGTAGGGCAACAAGTTAGCAACAGAATCAGCTATTACTTTTAAAACATACAAAGAGTAAGTGTAAATTTTAGTTATTCGTTCGAATTTGGTAGCTGTACCGTGAAGGTTGTCCATTGTGGGACAGGCAGTGTAACCCGCGACCTTGTTGAGACACACATCGATGGGAGAATCACCGTCAGTCGTTGACAAACGGTGACGCCTTTTGTTTAACAATAGCGTTGCTTATTCGTATTTAAGAACATACAATGTTGATTCAATTTTAGTCATCTATATGCAGTTTTATCTCTTTAAGATCACGCGCACACCTCTGACTAAACTCTCGCAAAACTGTTTAGTCTTGCTTTGATTCCTATGAGCTTACTCGTATATGAGCACAATACTCGATTTTTAATTGTGAAACGAAATAATTGAATTTGCTGCGAAACAATCGACAATCGCACAACGATGTGCGATTGTTTAATCAAAGGTGTGCGGTCTAACTGTACTAAAAATAGCGGTCGTTATGTAATAAATACATCTAAATAGATCCTCTAGATTCAGATAATTCACAATCAATGTGTAAGAATCTAAAACGCAATGTGTAACAATGACAGACACGTTGTGGAACAATATAGAGGCCCGGTTGCTCCCACACTAGTTTTTTTGATTACTACTTTTGTGTAATGTATGACTCTTTGTTTATTGCAAGACTGGATGACCTAGTTTGTATTTTTTGCTATTTTCAAACAGCATCAAAAAATAATAAGATTCTAAAATAATATTCAAAACATATTTCAAAGTCATCTTTTAAAAATATTTATTAAAAAACACGTACAAAATATTTACAAAAACTTGAATATTGTACTAACATATCACTTGTTATTTAAAACTACGATAAAATAACTAACCTAATGCCTGTGCACGGGCTTCGTCTGAGAACCCTCCTCGCCGAGGATCTGAACGTTCCTCACCTGCTTGCGTGTAGGCGCGGCCGTTGTCAACTCGGTAGAGGGCGCTGGAGTCGGCATTAAATCAGGGTTGATGGCCAACATCAACATCTTCAGCAGTAGCGCCTCACGGATGTCTGCCGGCAAGTACTCTGGTGTCTCTTCGATGTTGTTCGAAGACGAACCAGCCGCGTCATACGGGCGAGGGTACAACCTTCTTCTCGGCACGTAACGCTGGCTTTCGTACTGATTGTTATCGTAGTTCATCTGATTCGAGAACACGTCCTGTCTGTACTGCTGCTGTTGCTGGTCGTATCTGTAGTCATATTGATCGTCATCCATGTACCGTCGCGACATTTGGTGACGATTG